CCGTTCTTCTGTACGACGCGAAAATCACACGAGCCAGCCAATCAACAGACGCACGAGCCTACTGCAGGTACTTTTGTGCAACCACCACAAAAAACTATTCCACCTCCCGATCTAGGAAAGGTATTCCCTTGCCCCCTCCGTCTGCGCTGTCCGCCCCGTTGAGCAGGGCTTGAGCTGTCACATCCACGCACATGGGTCGCCTCAGCAAGCCCTCGTATCCCTGAACAAAACGACCGGAGAAGGTTGTTGAAGCTCGGCGCGACGGTTGCGTTCCTGTTTGCATCGCGTCTTTCCACGGTGCATCCTATCGCACGTGCACGATTATCGTTTGCAGAGAAGTTCTTTACTCAACACACACGATTTGAAGACACAGTACCCACGCCCACCAAGTGCTTCGCTATGATGATTTTGACTAGTCGTGCTCGAGAAACTACGCGTCGTCATCGGTGTCGTTCCTCGTGAGAGTAAATTGAAAACGTTGGGTGTAGGAAATTTATTTTCTTCATAACATTCAATGGGGCCATACACCCCAGGGGGGACAGGAGAAAAGAGGCCCCTAAGGAATTTTTTTTGCAAGAGCGAGAGTTGAGGAGGAGACGAAAGAGGGACAACATGTGGGGAGCCTTGGCCCTGTCATCTACACCCCAACGCACTTATCGTGCCAAACGCCGGTCTCGTCCCAAATACGGTAAGATAACGATGTAGTCTAGACGCGCTAGATCTGACGCCTTACTACGTTCAGAGCAGTCGTGAAAATCGCCCAACGTCATTATGCGGGGATGCTACGGCATAAGGCCAGGCTACGATCCCGACGACTATCGTAACATGGCTAGGTCGGCCAAAACATGCCCCCCGGCTGCCGCATGCCGCTAGCACGTCTGGTACTCTTACCGGTAGGATGACGACCGTATCGCCGCTGCCCAAGTCTAGCTTGAAGCTCAAAGCGTGCTCGACGACATCCGAGCATGCTCCGAGTGCCAGACCGTCTTCCATTGTGCCGCTAGAGAGCATTGCATCGATTCTTTCCCTCATGCTTTCCAAGAATAGGAGGTTTGCCTGGTCATCCGCGAACGCGTTGTTATCCTTCCATGACATGCCCGTTCCTGTTCCGAGCCCCACGCGCTTCTTCCGGCTGAGCCCCATCCTGGTACATAGTACACCAGCAGCTTGTCATTTAGGGCGGGACGTTGATGCCTACAATCTACATAAAACAAAGTCCGTGTGACAAGATTCCTGTATGTTGGCCGTCAAAAGAAAAATGGCGTACCTATGCATGTGTCCCTACGCCATGAGCGTTTGCTCGTGCTCTCTCTCCCTTTTCGATTCTTGCGGTACGGATGGGTGTGTGGGTATCCCGCTTGGCCCACTGCGGCGTTGCGCACAAGCACTACGCATGCGTGATTCATCGATGACATGGTAAAATTACTGGAGGTGAGAGCCACGGACGCGAGAATAACAACCACCGGCCACAGCAGGCAGTGAGCAAGAACTGGTCATCACCGTTCCTGTCAAGACTCGTCGTATTCATGATACAATGTACATGCCACCTGACGTTCTCAAAATTCAAAAAAAAAAATCCAAAATCTCTGCTGTAGACTTTTCCACTTTCGGTGCTGTGCAATTTGACGTAGCCATACTCGTATGTCGGCGGTCGTAACCGATATACTCTAGCGTATCCTCTGCTAGACCACCGCCTTCCTCCATCAGGGCGGAAGGGAGGTAGCGTAGTGCAGTCAGCCCGCCCGTCAATTTTGTGTGCACATGATGCACCAAGGAAGCACGCCCTCGTGGCCTTGACAGCCATGTGTGGTTGGATCTACTCACGCTCAAAGGTTGGAGCCACTAACGCTCAAAGTCCTTGGCAGCACCTCCTCCCTCACCAGCGGTGCCGACGATGTAGCGACCAGGCGTGCAGCACACGCAGCAAATAGATACCGCCCTCTCGGGTTCAAATGGAGCGGCCCGCCTGAAATGTGCCGGAAGATAACACCCGTACCTCCAACTTCATTCACAAGTTGAGAAGCGTAGAGAAAACCGCGTCCCTCACAACTTGGTGGGTGTGCGGCTTGGCGGTAACACTTGTTGGAAATCGATGAACGAATTTGGGACCTGTACTACAGCAGGACCTGTTGGAAAGTTCCGCTGTGTATCCCTTAGGAAAAGGGTCCGCCCGTGGCGTCGTCAGCGGGACTGGGTCGTCGTATTTCACTCAAAAAATAGCGTCACGGAGCCCCCAGCAAAATGGTTTTTGTTTTTTTGGGGTTCTCGAGGCGTTATGGGGAACCGCGCGAAACCGTCGGGTATTTTTTCGGTGAACACAGCACTATTCTTGCCGACTTTCGGTAGCCCATACCTACAGCGGATGGCCCCACGTGGGCAACTGCCTATTTCAGCGAACGAGAGCGCTGCTGGTGCTGTTGCTGGCACCGATGGTGCTTCTGGTGCCTTAATTGCGTAGAGAGGCAAGCTTGCCGATATTTCGTGCCTCTACTTGCACAAGTAACCCTAAACATGCCCAATTTGGCGAAAAAGTAAATACCCGGGGACAGAGTATGAGCCATCCCCGGGTAACTAATCGACTTTTTTTATCGGACATGAGCCCACCATGTAGGAATACACTGCTGTTGGTCGATAACACGTGCCCAGTTGCTTCATGTTGGTGTTTTACGCGCTTCTACATCCCTACAGTCCGAAATAGAATAAGCTCTCAGACCGGAATAAAGGCTCATTTTGACCCGGAAAAAACCTGGGGGCGCAATATATCGTCCCCGGGGTCAAATTCGATTTTTTTTTTAACATGACCCCAGACATATGGGCCATTATATTATACATTCCAATTTTTCGTTCAAAAAAAGTACGTACAAATTTTACGGAATTTCGGAACTTGTACAGAGGTTCATGACCAGTAGTAGGGAGCGGTCCAAAGTAGTCCACGCTGATTGCAACACCTGGCCCTGAGGGCAGGGGAATGGTGAGGATGGGCCAACGTTTAGTTTGTCGTGCTGATTTGCGGCCTTGGCACGTGTAGCATTGTCGAGTCCAGAAGCGGGCGCAAGCGCTCATGCCAACCCACCATAGAGTTGTTTCAGGAGGTTGATGGTTTTGGCGGTGCCAAGGTGGCGCAGACAGAGTGTTGGAGTGGCATTGAAGCATCACCCAAGGACGCATGTGTATCGGCACATAAATGCGCGTGGATTCATTGTCGAGAACGCGAGCAGCTCTACCGCTAGGACGATCGTTGTTGGAATTTGGCGTTTTGGTAATTTGTCGAACCAGGAGCGGATCGCCGTCGTCATAGATGATGATGCGACCTTTGGTGGTCAATTCCTTGATGTCGGTGAGGGAGGGACGCAAGTGTTCTGGGGTGTCACCGTGGAAACCTGTAGGCAATGTTGAAGGTTGCCAAAGTTGCATGTAGCGAATGGCGGCGTTGCAAGTGACGTCCTTTTGTTGTTCCTCATACCAGTCGGCGTGGGTGAAGCGCGCTACAGAGTCCATGAAGGACAATTCAGCTGGAGAAGGCAGTGGCGCTGGAAGTGACGAAGAAGCTGAAGTGGAGGGGGTCCCTGTGGATGGTGTGTCAGCAGATTCCGGCAGAGGTTCTGCGGGAGGTTCTGAGGGAGCAGTGATGTTGGCAGTTGGTACCGTGGGAACAGGTTCCGCTGCGGTCTGTGCAGGTGGCGCAGGAGTTGCGGTGCGCGGCCTGCGTGGAGGTGCAGCAGGTGCTGGTGCCGCAGTGGCGGAAATGTCTGGGCTGAAGCGGTAAGTTACTTGAGGCAGAGGGTTCCCAGATGTTGCAGCTGCGCGGCGTCGCGTGCGGGTGGATATCAAATTTGATGGATCCAAAGAACGCGGGCGCAACCGAGAAGGAGAGAGAGGCCGCTGAAGTGCAGGTGATTCCAGCATGTCTGACCTGGAGCGAGCTGCAGTTGCAGGGGGCATTGTCGAACTGGGAGGTTGTGCCGGAGAGTGAGCGGCAGACTATAGTGTGCCGGGATGGTGTCGAAGATTTGAGGACGGAGGACGTGCGGTGGTAGGGTAATTGCTATGTTGGTCCAAGTGTCGGGGCGAAGCCGGTTGATCAACTGTGTTGGTGTCGCGCAACGCAGGAGAGTGGCGAGAGTGGGGACGTGAATTGTTGTTGGAGACTGACGGAAAAGCACGAATTGCGAATACTCCGGGAGGAGCGTCGAGGTCGTCAATGCTCATTCGGAGCCCGTGCCGGCGAAAATCCTGGAAATCCGCCGACGTCAGTGGGGAGCCACTCAAAGTGTCGGTGCCACCGTTGGGTACTAGCCCGCCCAAAGCAATACCCTGTGCAGAAGGACCAGAAGGAATGTTGCCGGTGGCGCGAATCATGTAGACACCCACATCATCTGGCATGGTGATGCGGCTATATCCTGTGATGTCCTGTGTATTGGGGGGTATGGGCAGTCTAGACAGCATGTCGGCGTTGCTGTTCGAGGAGCCCGGGCGGTGTTTCAGCGTGTATTGATACCCTGTGAGGAACTCCAGCCAACGCTGCACGCGTGGGCTGTGGTCTCCCACCTTGGAGATGTTCTCTAGAGCTTGATTGTCGGTCCAAATTTGGAAGTGTGTGCCGCGCAAGTATCCACGCAAGCGTTTAATGGCCCAAACGATGGCGCCAGCTTCCAAGTCGAGTGGTGTCCAGTTACGCTCAGCGTCAAGTGTCGACCTGCTGATGAAGACGATGGGTCAAACAGAGCCATCCGCCTGTTCTTGTTCTAGTGTCGCGCCCAGACCATCGAGGCTGGCGTCGCAGTGGAGGCGGAGAGGTCTGGTGCCGTCTTCGATGGCTTTCCAGTCGGGGAAGACGAGAATTGGCGGCTCGGAGAGTTCTTTGAGGATCTCTCGGACGATGGCTTCCATGTCGGAGGTGAAGGTGAAGGACGATTTTTTCTTGAGAATTGTCGTGACGGGGCGTACTCGTCTAGACAAGTTTTTGACGAAGCTGCGGTAGTAGCTCAGACCACCGAGAAGAGAGCGAAGTCTCTTGAGGGCGGTTGGCATTGGCATAGCCGCCAGCGCGGCTACTTTGTTGGCGTTGGGCCTGATACCGTCGGGAGTAATGGTGTGTCCCAATAATGCAGAGTGTGTCGTGCCAATGGTGGCCTTAGGCTGTGAAAGCTTGAGCTTGTGCTTGCGCAGCCGTTGTAGGAAGGCGCGCATAGTGCGGATGTGATCCGCCGGTGTCTTGTCGTAGAGCACCACATCGTCGAGATATG